GAAGCATCCTCTCCATTCAACGACTCAGCATATTTGAAGTTTCTCCTTATTCCTAGATGTTTATTCTGTAAGTTTTACTCTGACCTATGATCATATTTCTCCGTTCTTTTGACCGTTATCATTCTTTCTTTTGTATTTGTTCACAGTACAGATTTCATGTGAACGTATTTCCAGTTTCATTTGATCTTATCACGGTATTTTTATTATGTACAGCAGTTTCCAAAGCATTATTTGTTATTACCAGTGAGTCTTTTATAAATCTAAAAACGGGTATTATCTTTAACGGTTGATATGGATTACCACACTTTGACCACAACCAATTTCTAACTACTAAACTAGTTAACGAGTAAATTTAAATCGTCTCGGAGAATAATGTTGTCAAAATTACCACATTATCATTCATACTACTACACTATCTTTACGTAAACGTGCAGAAGATCAGAGTAGGTCCAGTGATTTAATGAAAGTGATTGTAAATGTATGGTAAAATAACGACCGATGGTTGTCATACTGATACTATTTAGAACTTTAAACATTTGGTTTTTTTCCATTCTGTAAATTGTGCAGACATAGTTTGATAGTGCTTGAAGAGGATCATAACTAGGTAACTACAAACTAGATTCGAAACGCAGTGATCCTGGTCTTCCAAATCTAACTGAAATTTAGATATACAAAGATTAATGAGAAATTACTTTGTTTGTACGTCGTCTAAAATTCTATACTTGAGCTGTTGTACCTCCAGAAATCAATGATATTATCACTGGCTTTGGTCAACACAACTCCATAAGAAATGACAGCAGTGGTCTTTTCAACTCGATGCAAGTAATCAAAATAAAAGAAGCAGTGCTCAGAATGTCACATCTTTAAACAATGAATACATGATCGTAATTTAATATCTAAGTTACGTATCAAGAACATGACTCCAAATTATAACTTATCTCGTACTTTGATAAGAAATCCTTTATAGCAACTACCTGGAGATCAGTAGCAAACAATTGCCAAAATATATGCGAAATCTCGTCGGCTTTGTATGATGTATGTCGCTCAAAGGATTTGCTGCCAATTGTTTAGTCTTGCGGCATAGTTTATAAGGCCTGCCACCTTTTAAACTGTATAACTTAGCCCTAATTTAACAACATACTATTTATACACTGGAAATTTGTTATTCCTCTACTGCATGAAAATTTTTGGCATAACAGGCCAAAGAAAATGGTTGAAGAAGTTTCACGTAAACAATTACATAAGATTTGTGGCAGTTTGATCTTGTCAGTAAATTTTCATGCCTCGTGTAACTTATGTTTATTGGGAATAAATTATTGTCATTATTTTTATAAATTGCCCCTGTTCATATTCAATTAATTGACAAATGGTTGGTTCGAGTACTCTCAGATCATTACTGATGTTTTGTCCGTTGCAAGTAAGTGTAGCATTTATTTACAACAGATATCAATATCATAATTAACTGTACACCACTTCTCACAGGTTTCCGTCCATTTGGCAAATGTTTGGTTTTATTCTTTGTCTTAGATCATTTAGAACGTCTGCTATCCAAATTTATACCGTTCTGGAAGTTCTTAAGTTAAAATGTGTCTGCACAGTTCCTGTATGAGATATCCCATAATGGTCATTACCAAACAGTTATTGTTTTGTAGACAATGCACTACGTGCTTTTATATGATCGTTCCGATTATTCAACAGGGATCTTGATAACTGGGATTCAACAGTGAGCTGTGCTGTTCAAATCATACTTATGCGTGTTGGTGTTTAGTTCAATCACAACAAGTGTGAAAGAAACTTTTAACCGTGTATGCTTTATAATTGCAAGTTTCAGAACCGTGGAATAATGCCAATACGTGATCGGTAATAAATTAAATGGATTAAACTAGTTCATCACAAAGATATTGGATTGCCGATTGTAATTGAGACATATAAACGACTGAAATTTACAAAATGACAGACCGGAAGTTTAACAAGAATTTCTTTCGTGGGACTAGTACTATTCAGAGCATGAGATATGCTAGGCTTCCTTGCAGGCAATTCAGTGGTAGTTCACCCATACAATGGAATCAATGGACAGGCCAACTCATAATAGTTCAGCAAATTACTAGGTTTTAGGTTACTTTGCCATAAGAAGTCTTCTCGTTTTATGACAAATACAGATATGCCTAACCCAGCTGTCTTACTTGTTCAGAGCCTGTCGAGTGATATTGAATTCTAAACAAACTATCTAACAAGTCAGGCGTGCCCTAACAAAAAAAACTAATCAATGGACATTGGATACTTCACTGGAATTCATTGACTACAGAAGTAATGGTCAGTAAGTGTAATTAAACTAGAGCATCGGGGAAACCGGTCGCTTATTATGCACATTGTAGCATGTGAACACACTGCCAGCCTGATATGATCCTACCCGTACTTTAGGTTGCTACGGAAAGGCTTAAGAAAAATTGATGGAAACAATGCAGTTTGACTTCGACTCAGGATTATGCAAGTTAAGTAGCAGTGTAATTCTTGTTAATTTCCAGTGAACGGCGACTACTGATAGATAGATACCCGGATGCATAGCTGAGATGGTTTTACATGAACAAGAAAAAATCGAACGTATCAAGACTCGCTTTGGAGGCGGTGGTGAGCCACCGTATTTTAAAAACTTGATGAACAGTTCACATACACTGTCGTAACAGCACCCACCTAAGAACGCAAAGTCACCACTGTGAGTTTATTTGAAATGGCAATAGTTAGGCCTAATTCAGATCATTGTTTCACAGTGCTAAACACAACATTCTCAAGTGTAAGAAACGCACCCATTTAACTTTACAGGTGATCGGATTTTATAAGGGTATTTATGATTTAGTTATCTGAGTTGTGAAGAAATCGGAATTACAATTTGAGTGGAGCCACGTTTATAAATGCAAAATGTAAGGGACACCTAGCTCTGAATAAGGACGGCGTGAATACTGTGTGCTCGGACCATCACATCTGAATAAAATGAAGACTCAAGTGGGAGTTACAGTAAATAGTTGATATAAAAACACCCATATCCTATCGAACGAAATGTTGTGGTGTCGACTGTTCTGACACTACTTTAGATAAGCTCGTGAATATACGCCCCCATTTCACCCTGTATATTACCTAGGTTAACTCCGTTTTCATGATGGTGGTGAGAGGCCGAATACGAACGGTGACGGAGGAATTTATTTCGGGCATTCATGTAATCAGATCCATAGTAAGCGACAAAGAGGAAAGCGAGACGGAGAGCAATGCAGGTGAATGAGTCAACTCGATTTAACCAAGCGTGCCCCTATTATTATAGTCCAACGGAAACAATCCAAACATATGACTGGTGGGAGAAGCAATGTACACACAGACGCTTTCGTAGAGAGCCAAGGCTGATGAGCGAATAATTTATCAAGACAAAATGTGACCCAAGAAAAATGAGAAAATTGGCCTGTCTGGGAGCTAGAATAACCTATACGGGCTTGACAAGGTGATAGACACTACAATGTGGAGCTTGACCATACATTTTGTTTAGTAAAAAGGCACCACTCGATAGTCAGTGACAGGTTACCTTAAAGTAGTCCGAACTTAACCGGAGAGCAATGCCTACATATTTGACGTCAATACATCACAGAAATCTTATGGGTTTTGATTTTCATGCAGTGCATCCAGTACACGACGAGTCTGACAATGTAACTGGCGGCCTGCTTGAATATACGGGCTACTTGTTCCTCCGATCTAGATATTTCACCAAGTTATGTTTTGTTGTTTGTTTTAGCACATCATTATGTCTATTGTGCTCACAATCTATTCAGGCGCGTTCATGAAAAGTTTACAACCTTTCGCTATACGTGATACAAAAAGGTACAATCAGCGACATCATGGTGGCTGGCAATATGCATTGGAACGAATGAAAATTAATCAACTGTGGATTACCGAACTCACATCTAACCGGTCATCATTCAAAATTTATCATCACAATAGATATAAGAAAAGGGAACTTGTTGAAATACTTTATGCTGAGAATTCTATTTTGTACCAAAAATATAATGTTGGATAAAGCTTCTAATAATAATAATAGAAAGAATATATGAAAAATGTACCACAAGGCTATACGGTTTATCACTCAACACCAGCCCCACGCCACACCCTACCCGCGTAACAAACGTAGTTAGTGTCTGGAAAAAACAAGCCACAAGCACTGGCCAAGTGGGTTTATTAACTTTGGTCGGCTAAGCTCGGAATTTCCTTGCCACTGAAGGTGACTACAGTAGACATAGTATCCGGCGGGTGACCAGTTGGAGAAGTCATCAATTAGTGAACATGCAGAAGACACTCGACCGCGGACAGTTTCAAAATTTTCATCAGATGAGTTAGAATAACACGTACAGGTAGATACTGTTTTTTATCAAGATCCTCATCAGGCTTCAATATACGATAACACCTATACACGTATACGGGATTATTATACCGACTAAGGTGGTTTATGGGTCATTGGAATAGACTAAGTAAAAATGAGTAGGAAGTGGACATCGATAGTGCGACGATGTGTGTGCTAATTACGAACAATGTTGTTGATTTGCGGTGTAGAGACTTCCCAGATTTCATGAGCTACTTATGAGCATGCCCTGGTATGGCCGAGAGTGGAGTGGGTCTGCTCTACCTCTCGAAATGCTCTCACGCGGCCACGTGTATACAGCCTCTGCTAGGGAAGCCCTACTCACTGAGAGGACGAAAAGCAAACGTCCGGAGAGTCCACCTAAGGGAGTTGGAAAATCCTGACTTCGAACCAATGGTGCATATGGGCCCCAGTATCCTTAGGGAACAAATGGTGCACGAACCAATGGTAGGTAACCGGCTACCATGGGACTGCATCACCTTATGTTACTTCACTGCCTTGTGGATTAGACCTTCAGGTCAAAGGCTCCGAGTGTAGTTCCCTAAGAAAACCACCGACATGGGCAATCGAACAGTATCCCAGCCCTCACGTAAATCGAATGATTGATGTGGCGCATATGTATTTAGTACCTTCTTGTACCAATATCTATGTGTTAAAATAAAATATGGGCATGGTAACACTAAGAAGTTTTCGAAAGCACTGGAAGATAGTACATATCAAATGCGAACAGATAAACCCAAACAATCCCAATTAAGCAAGAAGAAAAGACGACCTACTCTCAAACATAACAAATGCATAAAAACGGAAACGGGCGTAATTTAGAAATGTAGATATGATGCTGCATTAAAAAGAATATCATTAATGCATCGAAAAAATGAGACAAGATGATAGTGTTTGACGAAAGAGCAAGTGAAATGAAAACACTTAATAAACGAAACGAGCAAAATAAGACCGGTTATTGTCTTACACAGCATTGACAAAAGCGAGAACGTAATTTGTTCTCTAAATAACCATTTTAGTGTATTTTACAACTAATGTATAACATATAACGAGCAGCTATCCTACGACGATCCTGCATGTGTATCCTCAACACACTCTGCATTTGATATAGGGTCTTTAGGAGGTTCATCTTCCTTGACTGACTTTCGTTCTTCCTCCTCTTCTTCTTCATCGTCATTTTCCTCCTCATCTTCGTCTTCACCATCTCCACGAGCATCTGTTGCTGACTCTTCTTTTGTAGAATCTTCTAACAGTTTAGCTTTGGCAGTTTCTAAAGCATGTTCTCTCTTCATATCAATAATGTGACTGGGGAGTCCAAATAAAGTTAGAATAGTCTGAAAAAGAAGACAGTATGTTATCAACCGTTGGAAGTATTGTATAAGCCATAATTTTGAAGCCACTGAGGAAATGTGATCGCAGAAAACAGCAAATGGAAAATTCGTTGACTGAATAATTAAATAGTCTTTATACAAACCTAGATATAGGTTATATGAAATGAACACAAAAGCGTGAAATGTGAGTCCCCCTATACACAATCACGATGTTGTAGATGGTATGTTTACTTGTTATTCACGGGAACAAGTGTCGTTTATTGAATATAGAGACATCGAATTTCTTATTTGACCAATGCTACAACCACTACTAATTTGATGGTCATCTTGATATTTTTATCGCATTGTGCTGATGTGATATCCCAATTTGGGCAAATTGAATACTTGCAAAAGACTCTTATGTTCAATTTAAAATTACATATTACCAGAATAATATACGTTTAGATATTGACTGTGTAAAATAGCGTTTTAACAATCAGCCTTCATGAATTCAAGATGAGTTCTTTAGTGATTAATAAATACTTTATGTTCTTGGCTAGAATTCAAATTAGTCTAAAAACAATTCATGGACAGACTCTTAATTGTCTAGCTACTTCAACGAACTAATGCGAAGTAGCATAATTGGTCGAAAAAATGGTAACTTGAAAATTTAGCGAATTAAAATGTACTCTTTACGAATTACAACGATTACCTAACGTTATCTTACCAAGTCAGAGTTGGCTCCACGTGAAATATAATAATCCTTTTTTCATAAAGAACAGTAGTGTTTAAGCAAACAATTAAGTAACGAAACAAACCTTAATTACTTAAACTTGAAAATGCTTGAGATCAAGTGACATGGTATTTATTTATTGACGACCTCTCTAAAGAGAAAAATATCCTTTCATTAATAAAAACTACACATTGTGCTCAGGTTCTTTGTCACGAAAAATCGCGCAATCTGTAATAAGGTATGTAGTTATATACTCAAAGACATGTCCAAATAAAATGAACAAACTGATACTAACGTGCATATATATACGAATTATGCGTGTTATCGGTAACTTACGTAACAATCTCTATAATCAATCCTATGACGATCAGCACGCGATCGAATACATTTTTCTAAACTTTTTTTCCATGAACGAATTCGTGGATGAATATCATAGTATTTAATTGGAAAGTGTTTTCGCATATCATCATAGCAAGTAATACGGAAACCACAAACACATAAATGAAAACCTTTTTCTCCGATAATTCTTGCCAATTCCTATTAATGGAGAATGAAAAGTAACATTATGTTAAAAACTACAGTCTATCAACACATTTAACAAGAAAAACATTCAGTTTCTTTCAATAAGTCATTGTCAATTTGTCTTGATGAAGGTCTCCTTGTATATCGGTATTACAACAACTGAAATTTTATCACTGCTCGTTTTAAAACACTGAAGTAATTCTTTTCAGTATTATAATCAGTATGACAGTTGAACACATACGTAGTTCAGTTTCAGTGAAATGAAAGTAAACAGAAAAACAAAAAGAATACAAAGTTATCTTTGATGTTTTTTAGGCAAAGCAAAGACGAATTCTGGATAGACCAATGTAAATTTTATTGTTTTTATAACATACACATGTTTATAGATAATCCATAACCGTTAGCCAAGAATGGAACTGTTAAACTAACAGACTGATATCATCAACTGACTTAAATAAGACATATATTGAAAACCAGGATGTACTGAGAGCAGTGATTTAACGGTCAAGCGTTCGTGCACGAGACCTAAACTCCCAGATCCGGTCCTCGACGGGGTAGCAAATGTGCACAGTCCTGAGGAGTCCCATAACAGGATAAAAGAACAATAGATTGCTTCTCATTTCATGTCTGTCTAACTCCAATCAGTAGTTCAATATGGCAACAACATCCAATAATCTACACAAACCTACGTACTAATTAATAGAATACAATACGATATGAATAGTGATATCGATAAACGAGGAACTGGCTCACTTTACTAGCTCTAGACTGGCATGTTTTCCATACAGCAAAAACCGAATCGGATGCAGACAATCTCATTTCTTCTTCAAATGCAAATTCCTCCAAATTAAATTTCTCCTTATATTTCTTTTGATGTGTAAGAGTACGTAGATGATTTTCTATATCATCAGCTCCAATTAAATCTGCTTTACAGAGTGAACAGCTATATTCCAAATCTCGCGTATTGTATACTTGCTAAAAATAATAGGAGATCGGCAGTAGATTGAGGGGGTGCGGTAGGGGAATACAAATCTATTTATTAACAGTGGTGGAAAAGATGTGAAGTAATTATCTCCTACAAAAACATAAGCATAATCATATACAATTGATTATTCCTAAAGAAATTACTGAGATCGAATACTCTAATGGATACAGTAGTATGGTGTTGTATTTTTCAGGTAAAAATCAGACAATTCAAAAACCAGATAATTCCTTCAATAAGAAAAAAATCAGTATTATTTGGTGCATTTATTAAAAATGAGGAGATTTAATGATAACAGACTACTACTTTTCACACTACTGTGGTGTATACTACTTATGTTGACAGATATAATTAATATGTAACACCAGTCAAAAGTGGAACGCCTGCAGAAGACTGGGAAGATTGAATTGAAGAGGACAGAAACGTAAACAAAGAATAATTATAACGACAACAGAATCAAGAATATTACGAAGCACGTAGAGGATAAATGAATGAAAATGTGCAAATAATGTATTTAACGTATAGTTTTCATATTCTACGAAGGCAGTGTAATTATGCATTAAATACACACCTGAGTTCTCGTTCACTATACTATCGCTACTTAAAATTGGACAGAATATCAGCTGAAAATTAATGATGAAAAACATGTTGAATGAATCAAGGAACATTTTTATGCTGAAGACTTAATTGTGATTTATTTTCTTCATGAAATAAAAATGACTACTTAGGAAACAATAGTTAGGGATAGTGATTTTTAACCCATATCAATGATTGAACGAATTTTACTCTTTATATAATTATACTGATTTGTTTGTTTTTAATAACTAGATGGTTAATTAAAAAAAAGAAGGGTACTGCAGCTTTGGAAGACTCTGTTGTCAAAAAAAAAAATACAAAGTGAAAACTTTTATTTACTTATTTTTTGTTCTGAAAAAGGTGACTTACCTGAATATTCAAAGTTGTCTGTGCATAAATTGTTAGTTACACCACAATCTCATGATGTATGTGAAGAGAGAAAGAGGGAGAGAGAGAGACAGACAGAGAGAAGTTTAACATTTCGATAGCCACACACTGTATTCACACCTCCACGTTTACATGGACTGATCCAATGTTTTATCGATACAGAATGTTAATATTTGTAAATGATACTACGTCTCTATGTTGCTATGCATTTACATATACATATATATTTTTAAAAATAACTTTACTTTTACACAGATTAACGCTTTTTCTCTGTTGTTGAATGGAAGGACACAATAATCCAACACATAAATGCGCGGATGACCAAAGATTCTCTAATAATAAATAAGAAAAGTTGGTAAAATTGGTAGGTTTTACAGCTAACTATAAAGTCTATCTTTGTGTGTGTGCGGATGTAATGATTACAAACTAGACAGCGCAAGTCACCTTGAAGCAACTCTGTAAAGTTGTAGTAGCCCACGATAACTAATTAAAAGTTATTAGACGTTTGGATGATTATTATGATTATCATCATTATCATCTCAAGTAACCAGGATATTCAGTGAGGCAGTCAAGAATCAAAGTTTTCGGTGAATGTTTTTTCACATTCAACCTACCTCCTGAATAAATTCCTCGCCAACTGGATTTGGTTCTTGAGAGATTAAATGTTTCAAGTCGAGGAATTTTTGCAAAAATGCATTTCCAGCATCCAATTCGACTTCCTTACAGTCTCCATAGTTCCCATATGGAACAGAGCAGTCTGGAAGAAATTTAAAATCAAAAATTTAGGATAAATGACTGACTGCAGTAACATAATGATCAACAAAGTTTATGAACAAACTAAGAGTAACGACATAAACTGATTTTACGACACGGACAAACTCTGCACATCAGATGACTTTTTCAAATACTTCAGAATAAGAGTTAAAACAAATATTACAGTCAACCTTTTTACGGATATTTGTCAGTCCACAAAAAGAAAACATGAAAATGCCAATATTTGAAAATTTATTTTGGTCTGATATGCTTACAGGTGCAAAGACCACGAAATTGTCTCTGAGATTTGGAAGATATAGTTTGTGGATTTGAATCACACAATGACTGGAAGGATTTCGTACGAAAATCGATAGCAAACACCTTGAAGCAATACAATAAAATATAGACCAACAGACATCAAATGGTAAGATTCTACAGTACGGCTGTATAACTAGATTTAATACTATGTAGACTAGTGCTACATATACAGTAATACTTACAGACTAAACGACTACATGAGAAATGATTAAATTAGATTCCAAGTTAGCCTTAAACAATGAATACGCACAACATTCAATAAGAACAGTAGTAATTTGCTTCCTAAAAATGAAAAACTATTTTCGAGGATAAAGTACTTACCTTTATTCATATACAATGTGAACGAACCCAATGGATCATTAGCAACTTCTTCCGGAGTCTTTTTCAGTTGTCCTCTTAAAAGTCTAGCAACTCTACAAAGACGTTTATGCTTTTTCCACTTTAGATGAGCATAAAAGTGGCGACCATTTTGAAATGTTTGTTCGCATACATCACAATAATCTGTACGTCTTGGAGCCTTTTTCTGTTTTGAACAAGAAGAAACAGTTCATGGTAAATCTCAATTGTTAAAATCAATCATAATACGACTAAGCAATAAATTTTATGAAATTCAATAACCAGTAACGAATCTACTCTTAAAGGGGCTTTGGTTAAGCATTGTGCTTGTTTCATGAAAACAATTTTTTAAAAAATGTAAGTTGGTAAATACAATACACAACCAGTTACAAACTTGTGACATTAGGTCCCAAAGAATCCTTCATTGTGTGAACTCATCAATAAAAACCTCCTTGAAATCGTTTAATTATTTGCAAACAGATCAAAAAAAATGTTGGAAACGAAGTATATGACAAACATACTTCATAATATGAGATTTTTGTCACATTTTTTAACGAAATAAAATGACATTTTTAGCCAAATAATGTTCAATTTGATAAGCGTCCCATGAAAATGATCATACTGCAGTAGTGTACTGACCAGCATCACAATGACACCAAAGGTAATATGGATTAAGTATACACCACTACTTTGACTTTTATAATAAGACAGATCCTAATTAGACAGCATAAACCAGATAAATGGACCTTTAAAGTACATTCGACGATTTACTTTAAAGTGTGTATAGCTATCCAACAGTTTTGTATAAGTACTTTAAACTAAGATAGTACTGAATACATATTGTATTTAAGATCGCTAATTAATAGATGATTAAGTACGATGTGAACAACCGATACATCACTGTCCAATAAAAAAATGTTATTCATATATTCGGGATTAACTTTCACATCATGTAACGAGTATACACTGTCATCGAGCAATTTCTTTTGGAGCTCCTTATCAAAATGTCATTAATGACAAAATCAGAGAAATGGTACGATTAAACAATCTCTCCGGTAGTTTGTTAAGTTCCAGAGGTGACTGTACATCATCATTAAACCTTGGGCGTTTTTTATAGGGATTTTAATTCACCGATATTTTCAGACACAACCATCTTTAACATATGACTGAATTGGAAAACCACTATTCAAATATTACTCTGATATCCAAAACACGACTATTGGCCCATACAGCGCAAAATAAGCATTCGAAAGGGAGTGAAGTTACGACAAATATGGTCGCGACATGAACGGAAAGAAGTCAGCCTTTGACATATTTTACCCAAGTATGTGGTATATCATGTAGACCCAATGATCACTACATAAACTGAGTAGGAATTTTCGAAGATGAAATTATTGTGGTGATAGACCATTTTCAGGTCTCTAACCACCCTACGTTTGTAAAACGCTTAAAATGTTTTTTAAAAAAAGCTTAATTACAAGTATAGGTTCATGTAATCAACCTCGAATCATATACGAATATGAGAGCTAGTGATACCACTAAGTTACTTAGACCGAAGTAGGAAGAGCATGATTCGAGTCTTTAATTAAATGGCTGGGATTATAGTATATCAACATCCAAGACAATATTTTACCGATACAGTTGGTTACGCTTATACGTTTAGCAACAGAAATAGTCCTTAGATGCGACTGGACTGCAATTTGTTGGAGAGTAGACAGAGGATAACCAATATAAATTTGGATAAGAACTTCTTTACGAAAACAAGTTTGTCCACATCTAGTCTACTAACTGAAACAGACATCGCAACATGTTTTTAGAAAGAAACCAATCCCTAAATTGAAACTTCACGTATTCTAGAATTAACAAGAGAGACTAATTGTTGAGACATACACTTCAGTTTCATTTTAGGTGAAAATATTCTGGAAAGTAAAATTGACTCTATAAATTCCCGATGATATACAAATTGTAACCACTTATGAAGTATAATTTAGTAACTCCGGTCAATAAAGCTGAGTAGCAATTGCAGCCCAATAGATATAAAATGAGATGATAATCATAAAAACTCGCGACATGTATTTCACTTACAGATTCTCCTTCGTCTGACTCATTTTTGTTACGATCCGACTTTTTCATATGTCCCTCTGCTGTGATATGATCAAGGTATTGTTCTTTTCTTTGAAATGATCGTTTGCAATCTTCACAGTAGAAATTAGGTTTTCTGTTTCTGTTCTAAAAATTTAATAAAACTAATTCCTAACAGAGTGTGGTAGAGCAAATTAACTGGTAATACAATTACATGAGGTACTGATTCGAAATCTTAAAGGAATTAATCACGAAGTCATTGTCTCTTTTAAATAACACATCAAAATAATTGGACATGATATATAATTATTTAAGTTTATGATGGATGCACAGTTTAGATTATCAAAGATGACTATCGAAATCTATGAATAAAACTGCACTAAAAATGATTTGTGGAATTAATTTATGATCGAGGTACATAAATGTTCATAGTATGATACATATACAGGTTACTAGCATTCATCCATTGGATTTTCATCTCGAGAAACAAGAATGATTGGGATGAGTTACACATACGCAGTTACTAACAGAAAGAAGAATAGATGTCAGAATGATTTATTTTTCAGTTCGATGTGAAACCGTAGTAATTCACCGCTAGAAACTTCCAGCGATAGTCTATAAACCGATTACAGATAAGTTTTTCATTAGTTTCATTTGTTTAGAGTTCTTCTTACGTTGTATTATCTAGTGTGCAGTGCGGTAATTTGAACCGATTTTGGTTTTGTGAACACTTGTAACCAAATGAAAATCGTCTGCTGGGTTTGGAGACACGTTTTCATGGTATCGACACTACCTAATTATTCAAACCAAGATACGAAAATGAAATGTGTAAACTTTGCAACTGAATGAATATAAAATGAAATGACTTACATTACTTCTGCGGTAGTCACTTCTAGACTTTCCTTTACCCCTTCTATCTTCAGTTGTATTAAAGCTACGTTTAAAATTACGGATGTGCCTTTCAGTATCCAAATGTATGGAATAAGTATGCTCATCCGTGAATGCTACATCACAGTATTTACAGTATATTCGTAGTTTAGGTTTTCGATTCTAAAAAGACAGTGAGAACAAATAGTTAAATCTGTTTAGAAGAACTTTTAACTACTCATTTAACAGGTAAAAGTATATGTACTTAGTTTGGTGATTCTGGGAGGAGGTTACTACAACCCGGTTATCCAAATACAGTAACAGAAGTAATATTTGAACCTGGAACTTATTGGTTGAAATTTAAGTTGCTTTGACTACTGAGAAATAAAACAAGTGATCAAAAAAACTCTAAAACAAAGCCGTTTGACAGAACAGACTAATTATTCAACTTATGTAAAATAAGTAACATAAAAAGAGCATAGTCACCTAAAGCTCAATAATAGATATTACAACAAACAACAACTTTGAAGGATTAAGTTGTGCAAATTAAGATCCATCCACTCTGTTTTCATTTTAAAAACATAACCAGTAATATTATATTTATCCAAAAAGGTGACTGACTTAGTTCCCTGTGAACAATAATGAAATAATACCGTAAAGGCTAAACTTAACTAAACTGGGAAGCCTGTGAAATTCTAAACTAAACCTATCAGCATATATGATCAAATTGTGACCTTTCCTTAAAATATAGTGATTTTGTAAAGTAGGTTAAATAAAAGTCACTGATTTCGTGCAAAATATACATTCAAGTAACATTTATCAAACTCAACAGTTATCTGAGTACGCAAGAACATTTATCAAGTGAACACTGAACATTATCTTCCCAACTACATGACACCAATTCATTGTGAGTTAATGTGATTTCGAAAGAGTAAAAACAAAACAATGGTACAATACAATATTTAAATCACTAAAATAAAAGTTCCAATATATTAATAAATAAATAGCGCTGAGAAAACTTGACAGCCTTACACTATTAATGTATAACAGGACAATGAGCAGATTGTTTAAGAGAAATTACAAAGGGTTTACATAAAGTATATACAGCTTTAGATCATCTACTTGCATTTTGCTGTGTGTTCTAAAGTCCAAACTGTCCTGTCGTCTAGTCATCAAGTGTTCTGCCTACATCATGCCTTCGATGTACTGAAACTCTCCAAGCCGTCTGACGAAAGTAACAACTTCAAGACCATGTTCCGCAACATACTACTTACAATCAATCTTGTGAGTAGCGTCCACCACACTAACACAATACAATACATTGTTTCTATTCTTTGATAGAACACATAAACAAAAAATTTGTGATTGAAATCTAAACCTCAATGACTTTAGGAATTATTAAATAATAAGTGTTAATCACTAAATCGGCAATTACTTGTTCAAGTATAGGCGTAGACGGAGGGGGTTGATATCGTGGTTGACTATTGATTGGTGGCTCACGAGAATGATACCAATAACTTGAATCATGTGATGGAGTTTGGAATTGGTTCCCACCTAAAAATAAAAAAGATAAAATTAGTTTGTATGAGATACAAAGGAAGTAGAGTAAAGGTAGATGACGCATAAAATTAAGTTTGTAAAACTTATGAGAATGTGGAATTAGACACATTAAAACAGAAGGAAAAGGTAACTTACTGAATGTCACTTATAGTACATTTCTGAAAAGTTTACGTTTGAAGCAACTAACCTTAGATTACCCATCGATGTGACGTACTTCTCAAATGTTTATCAATTTTGGGGTCGTGGAGATTATTGAGGTCACTAACAGACCGAAGTTAGATAATCAGTGAAAACTTGGAAGGACTGTATGAAAGTTTCGCCCCAGTATGGAACTACGCAGTGGGAATCCACGGTCCCACCACACAGGATTGAACCTAAAAACATTCGGTATCGTATGCGAACCCTTGAACTCCAGACCAATGACAGGGCATCCAGTGGTACACAAGTCTAACTCTCATTCGATCCACGATATTCCACGACTGCCTTCCGATATCTTTGGTGGGTAACTGCCTCACATTCAACACGGTTGAACTCCAGTGACCACGGTTTCTTACTAGGACTCCGGAAACATATCCCCCGAAGCGTGTCACTAGTAAGCATATGATTTTTAAAATCTTTGCGACAGAAATATGAAAAACTGGGAGGAATTAGTACTCCAACATTTAGTAAAACTGGATGATAATCGCATTAATCCATATAAGAACTTTAAAGAAATTTATTGAATATGGTAGTTTGTATGGAGGTTTATGCTGTTTGCTCGGGCGAAAGTTTAACTGGATTCGATATACAAATTAGTTATCTCAATCACAACGTGCACGAGATTATCTTTCACTGTATCCCACAAGGGGAGAGGGGGATAACTATAAGCTTACTTTATTTATAGAAAAAAGGCTTCATGTTTAAAAATAACATTCTTATGATGAACTACGACAGGTGAATTATGTTAAAGAAATCTTAGATGTAAAATACCTTTTAGAATAACCGTATAAAAAAGATCAATGGTGAAAGCTCACAAAACAGTATTGAAATTTTTTGGATCACGGTTTTTATAGATGTCAATAATATTCTCGTATGACGGAGGACGTAGTCACATCTAGTAGACGACATTCCCTGAAAGAGTTGTATTCACTGCTTCCAAATGCGAAAAGATGAGACTGGATATAAAACAATGTGGTTAGTTTGAAAAGGAAAGATCTACGTTTACGTGAGTTGGAAAACCTTAAAACTAAACAAATATATGGTGTCTACTCGACCACATAACATATCAGAGCAAAAGTTAGAAAAATTCGGAGTATGGAAAAGAATAGAAGCAGCTTACTCCATTGAGCATTATAACCAGGTTGAGTAGGTGTGGAATTTGTGGAATATCCATACTGACCATTAAAATCATTAACGGGCGATTCATAATCTTGTACCTAAGAAAAAGTTTAGTAAAATTAGGATTTCATTGAAATTTTCATTTAAAATTTTGTTTATAATTGACTGGATGTGGAGAGACTATCTGATGGAATATTAGGACTGTGTTTCATAAATCTTTGCAATGACTGACAAATATATGTATACCTTCTATTCACTAACACGTTTTATATCAATTTTAATATCTGCTTTCTTGATAAATCCGATTTTAATCATTTCCGACACTGTATATGCAAAGCTGAAAAAACTACACCCTCGATGCGCATATAATATCGTCAAAGTGATTTTTAAAAAACCTAAAACGTGAATTTTACTTTTTTTTAAAATAGTTGTTCGGTCGGAATTCATCTGTCTGGTAAACTTTTCCATAGTTTCGTGAAGTAAGGTACGTATATTAAATGTAACTTTAATAATGAAGATTAAACTGAGGAGGATGACCTCCGAATTTATGCTTCACTTTACCTACAAAGGATGACCTATGAACTATAGACAGAAATCTTAAGCAAAGGTTGAGTGTTATAAAGATTGTATATTAACGTGTAACAACTTGGTTCCCAAACGTTTCTATCGTAAATCCGGGCTGACTTTATTTTTGTCACAAAACTAAGTGCATGAACAACTGTGATTATACAGTTTTCCTAAGATTCAACCAGTCTTGCGACTATAGCATACTGCATATTTTTGTAACCCATACACGGTTTTGAACGTATGTTCAAAGGTGTTGTTTTATCCAATAAGAGACACGAACACTGAATTCACTTACGATGCACAAAGAAAACAGTCAAGTGCTAAAAGCATGATTCTAAGTCGTAACAAAATTTATTTTACCCTCAATGTACCGAACAACCAATTAGATATAGCGGATACGAAAAGTCGATAGCATCGAATATGGATTGTAAATGGTGAAACATATGGAAATAGGGATATGCCACGACTTATCTGCAATAGAGTTGTTTATAAATCTAAACCTATTTATTTTTAAAAGGAATAATTATGGTTTTCGAAGTGCTCGTCTCTTCAGTATGACGCATTATTGTACATCACAACGATTGCTGGGAAAGTAAAATCACTCACAACCATATTTAACGACCGTACATTTATTAAATTTAACTGTTTATACAACTTACCTGGGGTCCCATATAGTCAGTGTACGGAGGGGGCTGCTGGTTAGTCGAGTCATAACCATAGGTATATTGTGGCTCTTGAGCAGGTGTATGCACTTGGTTTGGACCTAAAAAAGTTTTAACAAATCACAAGTGCTGAAAGGACAAAATTTGGAGATGCTGTCGATCCCTACCGGCAATACAGTCATTACGTTTGGATATGTTAACTACTCCACTTAGAAATGTACTGGCAGTTTAAACAAAGAGAACAGTTAATTGAGCTATGCAAGGTGGACTAAATGTCACTTAGTATCAGAATTAATCAAATACCAATATGATATGATGCCTAATGACTCACTTCAACCTAATGTGTTGTAAGCAATTAATCGGTCGACCTAAGAAACAAGAGAGCTAAAACGTAGATAGTCACAAGTTAGGTTTTGACACAGAACGAAAAAAACAGGAAAATAGTGACAATAGTAATATTATTTTACTCGTACACCTGAATCATTCCTGTTGTTGGTTCTAAGGGTTGCAGTACAAGTTTCTGTTGGAATATGTATATCCTGTGTGGAGAGCCTAGATATTGTCATTTAACCACAAGTACTTTTAGTAAAGTTGAATGATGTTCAAGAGTGGGGTCCAGAACAAGTACTTCGTCTCATTTGAAACTCGACTGAATGTACCTGCAGCTTAGTGTTGTTCACAAGCCGTTGGCTACCTGGACTCAGTAGCTCACTGGATAATGCGACGGTGTTTGGAGCGGAGTCCCAGCGTAAACATCAACATTGGGATGCGGGTACACCCAAATGACGAGCTGTAAGTAAAACTTATCTTGTCTTGAAATCCGATTTAGCTACCACTCAACTTTACTGAAAGCAGTAAAAAGTTTAACAAAGTAAACTAAACAAGTAGAAACTATAAATGAAATGTAGTGTGTGGTGCCGAAATTTTGGACAAAAGTGGATGTACATGAAACTGCCTACAGTATCCTTAAAAGCCCATTGCAAGGATGACATCTCTGTACATGACTGAAGTCGACAGTTCCGTAGATCAAAGGAGCCTCCAACTTTGTTCGCCGACAATCCCTTTCCCAAATTACTCCTACGTTAGTCAGAGTACCACGTTGGAGCAAACAATAGTTTAGCACAAATAACTTATGCTCTGCCCGTTTCCTTTTTCGAAGGTATACAACTTTATCAAATGAAGTGGTTAATGTGCACGATAATTTCTTACATCCCTAAACTAGAAAGCGCGAAAGCAACTTTAATAAGAATAGATTGAGGAGTGTTGTCTTAGTTAGTAGCAAAGACTAGCAAAGGTAAAATAATCGAGACAAATTAATTTAATTTGTATTTGGATTTACTAAGACTGGTCTAGAGGCGACAATTTAGTAACAAAACTACATCACCGAATGACGTATTAGGGACGTTTGTACTATATCCAATCTATAATTTACTCCAGAGAATCCTCAGAACGTTAGTAGGTCCAATTCATGAGGTGACTGAGTGCGGATCTATAAAGACGTAGACAACCTTCTACAAATTCCCTGATTCCTTACTATCGACAAAGCAGTATTTGTTTGTTTTTGATGTATCACAAGAGCCCTATTGAACCAGTAATTACTTGAATTCCGTTTTGCGAACTCTTTTCTCTAAAGAATTCGAGTGATATGCCAATGCCAGATTTTAGTCTTTTTTTTTCTATCCATACGGAGGAAAGTTTGGAGTCCTGATTATAGCACTGAAAGTTAAAATGGGTAGACTAAAGAAGCTTTATCATCCAGCCTTCAAGGAGTTAATCTAATCAGGCGCATAATAAACTTTAGTCACAACACACATCCATGAAAAGGGTTTATTACACCTATTTGGTGCTTGTAACGTATAGAAACACTGATGTATAGCTTTCCATGACTACATCGGTTTAGGTTGAAACAATTTACAGCAACAAAAGACAAGAACCATGTTAGAATAAACGATAGTAGCAAAGGGAGAAGTGAAACAAGTCATAGATAAAACCATGATAGCTGAGATAGATTGAGTCAAATGATTCTCATCATTCCGAGTCTGCATTTCACTACACAATTGAGATTAGCAGCTAATATCTTTGTGGACTGCTATCTTTATTCAGTCTGGGGACTCGGCTTTTGAAAACTACACGACTATTCGGTTACTGAAAATGACGGGCTTGTTTAAGCCTCAATACATAAGTAGTGGTTTTGTGCTTGAAGGATTTAGTTTCCGAGTCATTTAACTACACATCGGAAACTTGCTTCATCCACTTCGAGTGAACAAGCCGAGCAACAAGCTTCAGTATAAAAGTTTGGCTCAATGCCAGTATATGATACTCCGCTTGGTTACTGCGTTGCACTATTTTTTATGCCAACAAAGTTCTTGGACAAATGGCAATAAAACAGAGGATGAAATGGATTCGTACCCCAAGTATAATTTGGTTGCATCGGAAACATGTATCCATATTGTCCAGTATAATTGTTCATCTTAGAACGTCGTCTAAAAAAGAATAATTGGAAATGAATACAAAAATTGATCACAGAACAAATGGGATGAAAGTTGAGTATGAAGTCTGCAAATGAACCGAGTTGCAGTGTTGAAAATAGTAGTACGACCCAGGAATACATCCAATCCAATAGGTCATCAACCACTTTATAAAATAACCCATAAAATCTAGTTAATAAAAATTAATAAACAAGTTGCATTAAAGCTGAACACCATAGGATAAAATGATTAGTTTTAACCTATGCATTTCAGTCATTAATTCGAAACCATCTTCATACATGATTCTTCCGTCTTGAACTGTTTCCTTGTCAAAACTACTTGAACGTACTTACCAGGGCAGTATATTCTTGATCCCGATACAAACACTAAATAATTAGCATGATTACCAGGTGGTTCATAAAATATACTATGGTCCTCATACATTCACTTAGATCAGGTTCAAAAGTGAGGCCAGATATCGCAGTGTAACTTCCCTCCTTAGTTTTTATACAATATAAATTAGTATGAATTCGATGGGTTTGCGTTTGATCGGTTGACAAACCCGAAGGATTTTGTCCTAACGTCCTGATGCCTTAAGTCACGTTAATGATCACGACTACTGCAACCATCCCTATATCTATCTCTTAACATATTTAGCCATATTGTAGTTAACCACAGGTCTAAAACTTTACTATCCATCACCATGGTAACAGACATGCTTAGATGAATTTGACTCCAAGAGGTGTGTGGTCTGCAAGCTAATGCGCTTCTTTCACATCACAACTGGCTAAGATTTGAAGGGGAAAATTCATTAGATGTGGTCACTCTTCCAAGTTGTCTGTCCTTAATCCGTCTGTCTTCCGCAAAAGTAATTCGACAACTAAGGCATTTTTAACCTTAATATTAGTCTCACCTAATTACACACTTGTAAATTTCGCAGCCTTTTTACAACTCATGAACTATTACCACAGGTGTTTGGCTCTTCAAATACTCCAACTTCAAGGTTGTGTCAGACCTGTCATCCGAAAGGTCATATGATGCGACTTTGTACCCGATATTATCCGGGCAGAGACTACTCTCCAAACCCACCCGATTAGAGTGGCTTAGTAAACATTAGTTTTCCATAGCCGCCTTGTCCTTTGTATTTCTAACCGTATTGATGTCATGTAGCAGGCAATGGTGTTTTTCGCATCTATGATGACTCTAGCATGCCTTTCACTTGTATCCCTACGGCCTCATGACTCCCATCGACACACGAACTAGTTCCTCGGCTCTTGATTGGGACCATCGACAGGGTTAGAATGTCGTACATTGATGAGCGGAATGCTTATTGGAACTGGAAAAACCGACCGAGAGCGATTCTAACTTGAGATGAAATAAACTCATTAGGCTTAACAAAACTCGGCTTTTACTTCCCGTCGATTTATCCACTGGTATCGCCCACAACCAGGTGAAAGATTTACTATTCGCTCCTAAGGAATTCAAGGAAATTCCTTCAGGGAAGATGTGTGAGTACTGTTCTGGTAGTTGAGTGAATTAAATACAATCGACAGAATTTGGTCACCATTTAAGAATGATGAGGATGACATAGGCTTCCTCTAAGTGACCGACCAACTGCTGCAATGCAGTGAAACGTACCAAACGTCAATCTACGCGATCTTCTAGGAACACGAGATACTTCGAAATCCAGATGGGTAAAACGTACATTGCCAACCGTAATGTAGATGGTAGCAGAAACGACTAAGTTATCCACAATGATGTACGTTCTGGAGGCTAGCGAGTTGTCGATCAACATACCTGTTTAGAGAACTTTTTAATACTTGCTGCTTAAAGCCAATTTCAATTTTTCCAACAGAACACATCAAGTGAGCAGAATTTTCCCGTACAAGCAGTATAATTCTCAGAAATTCAATAAAGAACAAGTCTTCGAAAGTATTCACGGACATAAATTCAACAGTACGAGAGCTTAGTGACCTGGCGAACTTGTATATGTTAACGCTTAGTAAACAACTCGATGGGTTTTAACACACTAAGTCAATAAACCAAGTACTTAGAAATAATAAACTTGGGATGGTGAAACGCTAGTATTGAGAAGACGGACTATTGACAACTAGAAAAAATTACCAGCATCACTACCATGACGGATTGGGAGCAAGAGAGTGACCGGCAAAGCAACCACCTAATAGTGTTATCATTACTTATTACCGGGCAATCTCAGCTCAAAGACTACATATTAGGATTTTTAGAGAATCACGGGTTCACAAATCTTTAGGTTGTGTAAGGATATTTAGACATTAGGAGAAGCGATTATGAATGCCAAAGGCTTGTAAAAACTACTGAGAAATACTTCCACACCATCAGCGTTACGGATCAAATACACTAGAAGTTCTATGTCACATCCAATTATAAATGGTTTTAGAATTTACAGAGGACAATGCTATGTCTGTTAACAGTAGACCGCCCATATTGTTCAACGGTGGCTGAGTAAAATACAAAAAGCACTAACGAAAACAAACGCGGAGTTCCATTAACTATTGGTTTATTAAATCTAGGTCACTTTTCTGACCATAAATAACAAAGGATAAACTAACCCCAACAAATATGGAAACGAAAGTGAACCTGCGGATCTAGTTAAAGGCCATCCATTCAATACCCAATATTATGGTCCCAAGGATTTGTCCAAATTCAAGAACTGTCGAATAGATGTACATAAAATTGTAAACTGGTTTTTGACTGGGTCTACTTTCAATAAATAGTAAGCAACCACTCAACTTGTGCTGATACCAAAATATGTACCGTCTAGGAGCCTTCAGTTTCAGATTGGGAAAGACAAGAGAATAGGTGGCCTGTGTTAGTCCTGACAAAGATGGTCTCTCAGTTCACCCAAATTTCTTTTGAAAAAGTTGACAGACGATGCTTCAATCATGTGTTGAGGTAATAAATTCCACTTGCTGATGATTCGATGAGAGGGTTGATAGTCAGCTAACAATTAATTTGTCCAGTGCTTGTGAACTTTTCGGAATGTCCTCGTAAATTCTCTGTCTTGGAAGACAAGAAAACTAAGGGCATATCATATGCAAACTGATCATTTAGTAATTTAAAAACTGTGATCAACTCACCGCTGACTCTTCGATATGACAATAGGATTATGTTCAGTTTAGCCAGTCGAGCATCATTCGGGAGCTTCGCTATTTCTGGGATCAGCTTAGTTGCTGTTCTCTGAACCTTTTCCGAAATACCACTGCTTTGCTGAGCAGAGACTAGCCTCTTGTATATAGCACTCAAGTTTAGGACGCACGAATACTGTGTACAAATGCCCTGGTATGGCCGAGAGTGGGGTCGGCATGCCCTCCCTATCGAATTGCTCTCAAACGGCCACGCGTATACAGCCCCTGCCAGAGAAGCCCTACCCATTGCCTCGTGGCGGGGTGTTTTTTACGCAAGTGAGGGGACGAAAAGCGAATATCAGTCACTTATCCACTCTCTTATTCCCACTTTGTGTATCCTTATTTTTCGACTTATACAGCAGCTCGCTTATGGTAGAAACTCGGTTCTATCTAAACGTTCTCGAGTCACTGCCTGGTTGAAAATTGTATGCTACCACCAAATACGAATACTGAAGCAGTTTTTATGAAACCACGCGCATCATTCAGACTGGCTGCCTTCAACGTTCGCACATTTATGCAGGTCGGACAACAGATAGGGCTGGCTATGTCTTTGGAAAGTCTTAATATTGATGTTTGTTGTCTATCCGAGACCCGTATTCAAGACTCTGGCGAAGTACTACAAATTCGATCTCCATCTGTCGCTTCGAAAAGCTTGTTTTACGTGCGCTTATCCGGGGACCCTGTGGCATCTTCGTCTGGTCTTGCTGGCGTTGGTGTCGCACTAAGCGCTAGAGCTGAGGCAGCACTAGTCGATTGGATCCCCATTAACAGTCGGTTATGTGCTGTTAGATTAGAAACCAGTGTGAAAAACGATGTCTTTTCGTCATCTCCGCCTATGCCCCGACAGATTGCAGCCCGGATGCAATCAAGGATGAGTTTTACCACCAGTTATCTGTTCTTCTCCAGAAAGTGCGTTCGACAGATATTGTAGTACTAGCCGGAGACTTGAATGCTCAGGTCGGGCGTCTAGGCACAGAAGAGAGTCGTTTAGGTGGCCGATGGGGACTCGTTGGTCGCAGGTCAGATAACGGGGACCGTCTACTGCAACTGTGCACAGACCACAACCTGTTTCTGGCTAGCACTAACTTTCGGCACAGTCATCGCCGATGTGCCACCTGGCGTCCTCCCTCTGCATCTCAAGCCTGGACTCAGATTGATCACATCGCGATCAGCTACCGCTGGCGTGGTTGTGTACAAGACTGCCGCTCCTTTTGGAGTACCTATCTGGACTCTGACCATGCCTTGGTCTGCGCCAATCTTACCTTACTTTTCAGTGGACAACGAAGTGACCGCCACCAACGGATTGATGTTAGCAAGCTGGTTGCAACTTCTGTTGCAAGTAAGTATCGAACCGAGCTAGCCTCTAGGCTAGCTACCACTCCACCGAAAAGTATAGATGAGCATTGGTTGCAATTGCATGACGCCATGAAAATGGCGGGAAAAGTCAGTTGTGGGTTTGCGAAACGTCCCGCTTATAAGCACTGGGTTTCTTCAGGTTCCTTACAACTCATTGAAGCCCGTCGGTCTACTCCGGGTGACCGTGAGTTTGACCATAAACGAAGGATGTTACGTAAGGAAATTGGGCAAAGCTTGCGTAAGGACCGAGAAGCCTGGTGGTCGAAGCGTGCTAATGAGCTGGAAGCAGCAGCTGCATCTGGTAACTACCGGAAGCTCTTCCAACTCATCCGAGCCACTGGCAGCAAGAAGTCTGGTGTGAGTGAAACAATCTGCGAGGATGATGGGATGCCAATCACTAACATCCATCGACGTCTTGGACGATGGGCAGAATTTTTCGAAGGGCAGTTCAACTGGCCTGCTGCTCCGGCAACATCGGTCAGACTGTCCTGCCCTCCATGGCCGGTGACGACTGATCCACCAAATGAGGCGGAAGTCCGCAAGGAACTCCAACTCTTGAAGCGTTACAAATCACCTGGCCCAGATGACTTACCTCCGGCTCTTTTTAAAGATGGTGGTGACTTTTTGACTAAGGAATTGACGACGTTGTTTACAAAGGTTTGGGAACTAGAGAGTGTACCAACGTCATGGAATGAGTCGATAGTTGTCCCTATCTTTAAAAAGGGTTCACGTCGTTCCTGTAACAACTATCGGGGGATAAGTCTACTTCCGATTGCGTCCAAGCTATTGGCTTCCGTCATACTTCGTAGGTTGTTCAAAACCCGAGAAAGATTGACTCGCGAGGAGCAGGCTGGGTTTCGTTCTGGTCGAGGATGTATTGATCATATCTTCACCCTCCGCCAAATGTTAGAACACCGCCATACTTATCAAAGGCCAACAATCGTAGTGTTTCTTGACATCAGGGCTGCCTTCGATTCGTTGGACAGGACTGTTCTCTGGGATTGTCTATTGAAGAAGGGTGTGCCTGAGAAGTTTATTAACATCTCGGGTAGAGTGAGGGCATACAACCACCTGTCTCCATTCAAGCAGTGGGGTTAGGCAGGGTTTCCCAATCTCACCACTCCTCCTCAACTTTGCCATCGATGACATTCTGGAAACAGCTCTGATGGATGTAAGTAATGGAGGTGCGGATCTGTTGCCTGGAGAAAGACTTCTCAAGCTTGAGTATGCGGATGATACTGTTTTACTGTGCGATAATGCCCAAGGCATGCAATTCGCGCTTAATCAGTTGGCAATCAATGTCCGTAGGTACGGTATATGCTTTTCACCTTCGAAGTTCAAAGTACTTCTACAAGACTGGCAGGATTCTAATCCTGTACTCACCCTGGGTAGTGAACAGGTAGAAGTAGTCGAGACGTCCGTGTATCTGAGTAGCTGCATAAGTGCTGGTGGTGGCCTGAGTAATGAGATCAATGCACGTATAGTGAAAGCCAGAGTGGCTTATGCCAATCTGGGATACCTTTGGCGCCTTCGTGATGTCAGTCTGGCTGTAAAAGGCCGGATCCACAACTCGTCGGTGAGAGCAGTTCTGCTCTATACTTGTGAAACCTAGCCTCTCGGAGTTGAGAATGTTAGACGACTCTGTATTTGATCATCGTTGTCTCCGAAGGATTGCTGCCATTCAGTGGCACCATCATTTTGGTAATGCAGAGGTTCGTCATCGTGTGTTCGGACACAGCGACGGGAATTCAGTTGGCGACACCATCCTGAAACACAGACTTCGGTGTCTTGGATATGTCCTGCGAATGCCGTCCCAGAGAATTGCACGTCGTGCATTAATTGCCGACGCTAGGACTTGTTGGAAAAGGCGGAGAAGTGGTCGGTGTATGACATGGTGTCATGGTATGGAAGAAAGCTGTACAGGGCTGAGTTTTGTTGTTCCTTCACAACTCCCTGTCTAGGGTCCGAGAAATGGTGCGACACAGTGGCTAGATACGTTATCAGATTCGGCTCAGAATAGAAGCCAGTGGCGATCCTGCTGTAACCTCCTTTTACTTTCTCCATAAAAAGTGGTTGTATCTTCCCTAACTGAAAGATTTCATCTGGTTGTACCTTTTCGTTTCCATCATTATTATTAAAATTATAATTATTACACTACCTTACACCAATGTGGTCGTTACTGTTCTTATTTTTTCTTTTACGCTCCTTACCTTCTTTCTATTTCTCCTCCCATTCTCATTGTTTTGGGTGGCGCATATATGTTTGGTGCCCTCTTGTACCAATATTTGTGTTTAAATAAAAATAATGACAATTACAAAGTCATTAAGGCTCTAGCGTCGATATGGCTAAAAACCCTACGTATTGACCATAGGGTTGTAAAACCTTTGGCGGCTATTGCACTGCGGTGTGCAATAGGTTTTATGTCTTGGTTAACGATGACTTCTAAGTCATTGCTTTTCTGGACAACAGGTAGCTCAATATTATTCATCGTGAGTGTATCTGTACCAAAGTATGCACCGTTCAGACATCATGTACAGAAAAAAACTGGGAGCTATTTCTCTAAGTATCAGCTTTATAGTCGTTTGGAGATGAATTCATGGTAAAACATGAATAGGAATTCGAAATAGCGAGGTCTATTAATTTTCGATACTGTATATAATGACTGATCACATAATCAAGCACGTTTGTATCCTTTTTGTCTTTCTTCTGAATCGCACAGTTATGGAAACAGTTTTTCACTTAGAAATCTCTCTGCGGAGTAGGAGTTTACATTTCATAAGTTTGGATGGTGGCACAAACCATGGATCCACTCGATCGTTTGTTACCTATCTTACTAGCAGTTCCAAACACTGAGATCAGTCTCCCTGTTTTCGATTTTATTTGACTGAATAGTTATGAATTTTAATCTCATTTACTCACACACTACCAATAAATGCCCGCAATTTATTAAAATGCTAAATACTGAGTAGATGGTGATGTCTACTCAGGTAGACTGGTAGAAATGTGAGACCCTATCTTATGCTGATGTCTCACCTTGTGGTACAAGGGCAAATAAATCCCAAAAATAAGATGTCCTGTGAGTTTTCGACACTAGTGCTGCCCTCATTTGTTTTACCGGACATAAC